GGTGTAGGGGCTGGAGGGGGTGACAGGGATGGGGAGGGGTGTAGGGGCTGGAGGAGATGACAGAGGTAGGGAGGGGGTGTAGGGACTCGGAGTGTACTAAGTGAGTGACTGAAAGTGGCTCTGTTTTACTGGAACATGCTGTGAGGTAATGTAAGTGACAGCACATTGTCTGTTTGTTTTGGAATCTCACCCAATGGCCAAGGTCACAGTGAATGCAACGTGGATGTGTGTCGAGCAGTGTCTGTGTTCCTCCCCACATTGGGTATTGCATAGAGCCCAGAGAGCTGTGGGCAGGGATTTACTTACGATATGTGGTCAGTGCTTCCTGTTTACAGTGTGCTGCTGGCTTAGGTCAGTAAAAAAGGCAGCCAAAGTGATTTCTCAATGCTTATGAGAGCAGGATACCATCTACAACAACAACTTGCATTTCCATTGCACCTTTGTCGCAATACGGCATCCTGAGGCATCTTACAATTAAATTTGGACACAGGACTACAATTTGGGTAGGTGGCCGAGGCATGGTTGGCCACGTAGGTTCTAGAAACATCTTAGAGGAGGCGAGCAAGGATTGAGGAGGGAATTCCAGGGACCAGGAGCTCATCGGGCAAATGCACAGCCTTCAATGTGATTCACCAGGATTTGGAAAATGGTGTGAGCTTACAGGGACTGGAAGACCTCCAGAGAGAAGGAGAGATGAGGACATGTTAGGACTTGAAACTGAGGTGATCATCTGAAAACCAAGAACTGTTTGACAAAGATTAGGTATTGGACAGTGAGCAGAGGAGAGATACAGGAACAGAGACAGCCCAAGTTTGGGAATGGGCAGTAGGATTTTAGAGTTCATGTTGCAGCTGTACAGGACATCGGTAAGGCCTCTTTTGGAATACTGCATTCAATTCCAGTCTCCCTGCTATAGGAAAGATTTTATGAAACTTGAAAGTGTTCAGAAAAGATTTACAAGGATGTTGCCAGGGTTGGAGGGTTTGAGCTATAGGGAGAGGCTGAATAGGCTGGGGCTATTTTCCCTGGAAAATCAGAGGCTGAGGGGTGACCTTATAGAGATTTATAAAATCATGAGGAGCATGGATAGGGTGAAGAGGCAAAGTGATTTTCCCCAGGGTAGGGGAGTCTAAAACCAGAGGGCATAGGTTTAATGTGAGAGGGGAAAGATTTAAAAGGGACTGATGAGGCAACGTTTTCATGCAGAGGGTGGTGTGTGTATGGAATGAGCTGCCAGAGGAAGTGGTGGAGGCTGGTACAATTATAACATTTAAAAGGCATCTGGATGGATATATGAATAGGAAGGGTTTAGAGGGATATGGGCCAAATGGTGGCAAATGGGACTCGATTAATTTAGGATATCTGGTCAGCATGGACGAGTTGGACCAAAGGATCGTTTCTATGCCGTACAGCTCTATGCGTCTAAGTTTGTAGAGAGTGGGAGATGGAAGATGGAGTGAGATGGAGCGGTCAGATGAGCTGATGTGGGGGCAGAACATCTGGTTTGCTTTCAAATTTAGTGACTACATTTTAATAAGCCACAAGGGGCTTTTAGACAAGTACATGGAGGGATATGGACAAAGGGCAGGCAGAAGGGATTAGTTTAATTGGGCAACATATTTGGTACAAGATCATGGGCTAAACGCCCTGCTCCCGTGTTGTACAGTTCTAGGCTCTGTTCACATTTTCATCCCCGCAAACCACAGCCTGTGCTCACAACCAACCTTCTGGGAGTTGGGTTAATGGGTATTTAAGGTACAAATCCTGCACATTCCTCAAAATCGACGGCGAGATGGAGGGTAAGCGCAGTTGTTTGAGATTCCCAGCTCATGATCCGTCTCCCTCCTGCTGAAGCCACGAGCAGGTTACAGAATGGGAACAGAGTATGTGAGTTGAGATGTGCCTAGCCCCTCCCTGCTGAGAGAGTCAGCAGAATCAAGTCAATGAGGAGCTCCCAGGCTGAATTAGCCTTATTGTCACATGTACCCGCACGAATACAGTGAAAAGTTTACAAGTCGCCATTTATAGCACCATCTTAGGTACGAGGTACCCAGGTACACATTCTTCAGTACAACTTCTTAAGGATGAAAAAAGAAAAATAACGAAATAAAAAGTCCAGTACTACAGATCATAGGAATAAATTAGAGAAGAGAGAAATAAAAAGTTCAGAACGACAGTCCTTCCAACCCAGTCCACAAGAGCGATCAGTCCCATTTTCCAGCAAAGTGGTGATCAGCCAGACAGGATTCTCACCAGTGAGCTCTGAGAGGCTTATTTGCATTTTATTGACACGCATTAATGTCTCATTATCTCGTCTCATTGATTTACAGTTTCCCGTTCTCCCATTGTGTCTGTCTCATCTCTTTGAAAAAGCAAACCAACACGTCCCCACAAATGACTTAATTTTGATCTACACTTTTGGAAATCACTCACAAACCTCTATCAGGAATTCCACAATATATAGGAGCAGAATTAAACCATTCAGCCCATCCAGTCTGCTCTCCCATTCATAGAATCATACAGTCATACAGCATGGAAACAGACCCTTCTGTCCAACCAGTCCACGCCAAACAAGTTTCCCAAACTAAACTAGTCCCACTAGTCTGCATTTGGCCCACATCCCTCTAAAGCGTTCCTGTACACATTACTGTCCAAATAACTTCTAAATGTTGTAACTGACCTGCATTCCTCTAGCTGTTCATTCCACACATGAACCACCCTCTGCAGATAAAGTTGTCTCTCTGGTCCCTTTTGAATCTTTCTCCTCTCACCTTAAAAATACGCCCTCCAGTTTTGAATTCACCATCCCTAGGGAAAAGACCTTTGCTCTTCATATTATCTATGCCCCTCAAGATTTTATAAACCTCCATAAGGGCACCCCTCAACCTCCCACGTTCCAGCGAAAAAAGTCCCAGCTTATCCAGTGTCTCCTTATAATTCAAAACCTCCATTCCAGGCAACATTCTGGTAAATCTCTTCTGAACCCTCTCCAATATAATAAAATCTTTTCTAAAGCAGGGTGACTAGAATTGTACACAGTACTCTAAAAGTTGCCTCACCAATGCCCTGTACAACTGCAACATTCAATCATGGATGATATGTTTTCAACTCCATTCTCCTGTCTTCTCCCTGTAACTCTTGATCCCCTTATTACTCAAGAACCTATCTGTCTCTGTCTTAAATACACTCAACGACTTGGCCTCCACAGCCCTCTGCAGCAATGAGTTCCATAGATTCACCATCCTCTGGCTGAAGAAATTCCTCCTCACCTCAGTTCTAAAGGATTGTCCCTTCACTCTGAGGCTGTGCTCTTGGGCCCTAGTCTCTCCTTACTCCTGGAAACATCTTCTCCATATCCACTCTATCCAGGCCTCTCAATGTTCTGTACATTTCAATCAAATTCCCCTCCATCCTTCTAAACTCTATAGCGTACGGACCCAAAGTCCTCAACCTCTCCTCATATGACAAGCCCTTCATTCCCGGGATCATTCTTGTAAACCTCCTCTGGATCCCCTCCAATGCCAGCACATCCTTCCTTTTATAAAGCAGAAAACAGCAAGGTGATACCATGTTGATAGATCATTGCTTGGTTCAGGGGCAGAGAGAAGTTGTTTAATACGCTGTTACTACAAAACGTGGGCCTGTTATTATAGAACAGGGGATGTTGATTTTGGGTGAGATGAATTCAAGTGGGTGGAGGCTCACGAGGAGCATAAACACTGGATTAGATGGGCTGAGTGGCCTGTTTCTGAGCTGCAGACTCAACGTAACCCTGGGTGGTGAGTTTGATAATCAGATTTTTGGACACTGAGCCGGGTGGGCATGCTATCACACTCCAAAACAGGGAGGTAGCAAAGTAGTCCATCAGAAAATAAACGAGCTCAGCATTTTTACCAGGAGCTGCTGCAGCTAAAGCTCGCTGAAGCGAAGCCAATCATGTCCTGCAGATAACATCTCAAAGAGGCAACCACGTGTCCTGATAGATAAAGCAGGGAGGAAATGGTGAGTGATCAAATCAACAGAATGAACTTCCAGTCATTCTCAAAATGCAGGGAAACACCGGCCTCAGTTACGATCACACACTCAGCAACTGCAGGTCCTCCATGTCCTTGCACCCTTCCCATTACCTCAAATGACTGGTCAGAGAACCTTCAGCTCCTTAGAGACCAGAACACTATAAGATATAGGAGAAGATTTAGGCCATTCAGCCCATCGAGTCTGTTCCACATTTCAATCATGGCTGATATGTTTCTCAACCCCATTCTCCTGCCTTCTCTCTATAACCTTTGATCCCCTTACCAATCAAGAGCCTATCTGTCTCTGTCTAAAATACACTCAATGACTTGGCCTCCACAGCTCTCTGCAACAATGAGTTCCACAGATTCCCCACCCTCTGGCTGAAGAAATTCCTCCTCATCTCAGTTCTAAAGGGTGGTCCCCACACTCTGACGCTGTGCCCTCAGGTCCTTGTGTCACCTGCTGATAGAAACAATTTCTCCACATCCACTCTATCCAGGCATCTCAATATTCTACAAGCTTCAATCAGATCCCACTCATCCTTCCAAACTCTATGAA